TACGGTGCCAAAGCTTATAATAATATACCTCACAGGAGACCCAACGGATTTTGGTAAAATAAAATTGAAAGGGGAAAACATTCTGTAAAATATAAGCATATATGGACTCATTATGATAGACCCAGCCACACACAGAAAACACACATATGAAGAATAAAGTAGCAAAGTGTCTATGATTTTATCTAGTCCTATGACTGCAACTAGTAAAAATTAACATCACATTTTGAAAATCATTCACTTTCCACTCTTCCCCACAGGAATTATTCTTGGGCTCTGGGTATCCCTGTACCCTTCCTTGACCAGAAAGTAGTCATTTGCTTTTGCTTTACTTCTTTCATAGTTGCTCCATTGTTTTTTCACTTGTCGGACACAGAGACAGAGTTTGCCATCCCAGCAATCTCACTGTTGTTCCACTGGTTCAAGATAACCACCTCCTATCAAAGGATTGTTTTTAGACTTGCCTTTCCAGTTCTTCTATTTGATCTCAATGGCAGCTCTGTGTTATTTGTGCTAACACTCTCCCCGTTGGAGCTGATAATCAACTGTAAACATATTTTTGGTCCAAACTTTGATCATTGCCGTCAAATGACTTATGAAACATCCTTATGTTTAAGACACAGTGTTCTGTACGATACAAAAATTAGTAAAAACAAAGAGAGAGAGAGAGAGAGGTCCTGTCCTTGAGAAACAAGATCAGGAAAAGATAATAGACACAACCAAAGTAAATTCTGGTTATTTCATCACAGAAACACATATTTTAAAAATTAGAGAGCAATACAGAAGGTCCAATACATGATGAAGAGAAGTTCCAGAAAGTGGAAAAGGAGAAAAGGGAAGGGAGAAATGATCAAAGAAATAATAACAAGAGCATTAACTCAGAGAAGAGTTGAAAGCTTATAATGGTGGAAATTTTATTAATATTTTCATTGTCACTGTTTTAGCTGATTTTCATACGAATTAAGAGAAGACTGTAAGGAACGACAGGGGATGTGGAGAGAGAAAGGAAAAGAGTGTGAAGTGTGGGGAGAAGGGGTTTGAACTATCTCCTAGAGCAGGGATTCACAACTCATATATGTAAATGAATAGAAAGTAATGGTATCACCTCAATCCTAGTGGCAAATTGGATAACTAAGGATCTTTTGAAAAAAAATCAGTAGAATGTAAACATTTAAAAAATAGGGTATTTTCCTTCCTTAAAAACATTTTTTTCCTAGTGGTAGAATTAAACATATATGTATGATGGAACATTAAAAAAACTGAGTAAAGTATAAAGAGGATTGCTCAAAAAGATACATGTACCACAATGTTCACTAGCACTATTTTATGATGGAACATTAAAAAAACTGAGTAAAGTATAAAGAGGATTGCTCAAAAAGATACATGTACCACAATGTTCACTGCAGCACTATTTACAATAGCCAGGACATGGAAGCAACCTAAGTGTACATCAACAGATGAATGGATAAAGAAGATGTGGCACATATATACAGTGGAATACTACCCAGCCATAAAAAGGAACGAAACTGAGTTATTTGTAATGAGGTGGATGGACCTAGAGTCTGTCATACAGAGTGAAGTAAGTCAGAAAGAGAAAAACAAATAGCGTATGCTAAAGCATATATATAGAATCTGAAAAAACGGCACTGATGAACCTAGTGGCAGGGCAGGAATAAAGACACAGACATGGAGAACGGACTTGAGGACACAGAGCAGGGAAAGGGAAGCTGGGACGAAGTGAGAGAGTAGCACTGACAGATATACACTACCAAACGTAAAATAGCTAGCTAGTGGGAAGCTGCGGCATAGCACAGGGAGATCAGCTGGGCGCTTTGTGACCACCTCGAGGGGTGGGATAGGGAGGGTGGGAGGGAGATGAAGAGGGAGGGGATATGGGGATATATGTATACGTATAGCTGATTCAGTTTGTTGTACAGCAGAAACTAACACAACGTTGTAAAGTAATTATACTCCAATAAAGATGAAAAGAAAAACAATAAATAATACTTAAATAAGTTAAAGAAAAGTATAAAGAAGAAAACAATAATTGCTCATAATTTTAACAACCAGAAATACCATTGTTAATATTTTAGTTATTCGGTACTTTTCTATACCTATTAAAAAACACAATTTGGATTGTGACATACAAGCTGTTATTTGATCTACTCGTTTCACTCATACTTTGCACATTTCCATGTGATTAATCATTCATTAATAGCATGATTTTCATGTACATTATTCATTTTTCCAAAATGCTTATTTTGGTCCTAATTTTCACAATCATAAGTAAAACCATGAGCATAACCTTTGTACATAAATCTTTGTTCAATTCTCTAATTATAAGGAATAACATGTAAATTCTGAGAAGTGGAACTACCAGATAAAACATATTCAAAAATTTGAAATAAGTTGTGGGGGTTTTTTTCTCTATTTTTGGCTCCCTCTTTCTCAAAACCTCCAGGAACAAAGTGAATTTCTATTTGTTCCTGAGAGAAATGGCGTTTGCTGCAAATGTCCCCAATAAGTAAACGTCTGTATAAGAAAGTTATCTTGAAATAAACGTTCTAGTGTTATTGGCTTCGGTGCTTGAGTTACTCATTAAAACTAAGTGTTCATCATGGTCCTTGTGGCCAAGAAAGAGTAAAGTGAATTTTCACTAGCAACAGCAGAAAACAAATTTGAACTATACCTACGTATAATTATACTTTATATCTTGCCTGTAATTCATGCTTGAATTTGTGCAATGTACTCCCGTAGAGTGTAATTAACTATTCCAAGAGCTGTGTCAATACTTCTCCACAATCAGATAAAAGCATGAAATAAATGGTATGTTTGCAGAAATATAGTCACATGTTTATATATGTATGTCAAAGCTTGTTTCAACCAGTGGTGAGTTAATATTTCATTAAAAAGCATGCTTTGCTTGATGGTTCTTTATGAGGTTAAGAAATGATTATTCTAATAAGGAAGATTCTGTCCATCCTGAAAGCACCTCGTGAGATGGAAGGAGGAAAGGAGGAGCTAACAGGTTTAATCTAGAAAACCATCACTTTTGTTTCTTCATCACTTGACTGAGCCCTTTCTCAACATGACCTCTGCAGCTCGAGGCTTTGGTTACCCATAGCCAGGCAAGCATAAGGACCTGAAATAAGCACCTTTAAAATTCATGTTCCAGCAAAGACAGGAGCTTCGTCCCAAGCTGGCAAATTTCAAAAGACATTTAAGTGAGGGTGGGGAGTGAGGCTGGCTTACGCTGCACCCACATGTCTGCAGAGTTGGAACCACTGGTCTGGTTTGGAGGAAGGACTCTACCGTAGCTGGTGTGAAAAACAGCGGATATAGAAGCACAAGATGCCTTAAGATTAGGAGCAGAGCATTCTGACAGCCTGCCATCTCATAAACCTCTGGGCTACAACAAACATCCTTGTGTATTGCCTATATTTTTGCCTGCTTCAGAACTTAATATTGAAATGTATAAAGTGCTGCCTTTTCCCAATGGTATATAGAGTTTGAATGAAACCAAGATAAGATATAAAAGTTCCCATTTCAATGATGTTTTTCTACCAGCCACTGATTGCCGTTGATGTCAACCAAGCTATAGTTTTATTTCTCCAGGCGGAATTTCTCTAGAGCTGGTCTGCATGTGCAGACAAGAAACCACTATGATGTTTTGGGGTTGGAAGGGCTGTGAAGGACAAGCATCAAGCCACAGAGCTCAGGCCTGTCTCTGCAGGCCAGCACCACCTCCAGCCCTGCGGCCTCTATCAGGCTTGGGGAGGTAGGGTGGGGGGCTGGGGGAGGGCGCACACATGGAGATGCAGATGCAAACAGTGCCTGGTGATGCAAGATCTGCCTGCCTTTCTTCCCAGCGCTTCCAATGCATCCCACTGTGGATGCATATCCAAGCACTAGTCTGGACCTGTTTGCACGAGGGCCCCTAAAGCAAAGACTTTCCTGCAAAGTCTCCAACTGCAATGCAAATGTGGGCATCCAGGGAGGACTGAGGCGCAGAATTGTGCCTACACAACTGACAGCAGTTGGCAATAAAATGATGGCTCATGAATTCACCCATGTCGGGGTAAGGTCAGTAGAACCGCGGATTTCCCTTTGCGCTCTGCCAGGCAGATGACGTGTTAAATTAGAGGAGGGTTGGCTGCTTGCTACATTGGTCAGGGTGAGGAGAGCCGATGCTTGTCAATGAGAGTCCACTCCCCAATGGTTGCCACTAATTTTTACCACGGATCCGTGAGAGCCCTGCACCCCGATACCAGGATGTCATGAAGAAAGACAGTGGGAAAGAGGAGACTTTAATGGAGCACTAAGAGACAGTCATCATCAAATTCTCCCAAATCAGAGCTGAACGAATTGGACAGGTTTTACTAAACTCTCAAGTCACGAGGTTGAAACAGCTTCTAATGGTGCTAGTACATCAACAAATGTTAAAACGTTACACAGTCCTACAAAAATCTATCCTCCACTTCCCTTTGCAAACACAGAAAACTCTCCCACCTTTGAGCATCAAGAATCCAAATTTCCATGATTCATAATTCAGTGAGACAGGCCAAGGTCATTCAGAACCCTCTCAGACGGTTGTAGAGATCCCTAAACACTCTGGCCTTCCCGCCATCCCCAGTCCTGGGCCGCATGACCCGGGAGAGAAGCTACAGGAGGAGAGAACCACGTTCTGCCATGGGACCTCGACAGCCTGCTTCCTTCCTAGTGAGCACGTTATGTCATTTTCGCTTTCTTATCTGCTCTCCAGAATAAAAGAAGTTCGATTCCCAGGCATTCAAATACAGGAAAGCATACTGTGCCGCCTTTCCCCACCTCTTAGGAAAAAGAGGAAAAAACCCTCAAACAAACGTGGTAACTACATGAGCATATGTAGGAAGGATTTCCACAGGTGATTAACCCCTACCACTGAAGCACGGGGAGCATCACACGTCGACGGTCTGCAACGCACGCCGAGAGCACCTCCAAGCGCGTCCCACTTTCACACTTACCTGACCGTGGGATGGAAGCGCCGGGTAAGCCATGGGCTGATTCATCACTCCCTTCTGCTTGATGAGAAGCATGCGTTTCTGGTCCTCACTCAGGTGTGCCCTGGGGGCCTGGAGCTGCGGCTGCGGCTGCGGGGGTTGCTGCTGGATGTAGGGCATCAGGGGGTTTTTGCCGGGGTTGGCCATCGGGGGCGTCATCCTCTGACTCAAGTCTGCATTAAAATGGGTCAGAGGCTTAGTGTTGCCGTAAGTAAGAATACTGTGCTGTTTGTTCGAGGAGTTTGTACCCAGGTTATTTGGCTGTTGATTGATCATATTCATGTGATTCTGAGGGAGGTAGTTATTCATTGTCGTCTTCTGCAGGTTGTTGGCCATCGGAGGCACTATAGGATTTTGGTTGTTAAAGGCTTGGGGGTACATCATTGGGCTATTTGGTTTTTCCGCAGTGAAAGCTGCTCCGTAGGGACTGGATGGAGGCCCTAAGGGAGACCAACTCGCAGTCTGATTTGAGTGTTGCTGCTGCTTCTGCTGCATGAGTTTGGCCCTTTGCTGTTGCTGGGCCGCCATCTGCTTGAGCTGCTCAGCCGGAGACAGCTCAGAGCCGGGCACAACCCCAGGCCCCGACCCTGAACCAGCCACTGGCACGGCGGCCGGATTAAGGAGATAACCATTCCCAGGCCGAGGTGGAGCCTGGCCTGGCGTGTGGGCTTGGTTTGGAGTTTGAGGGGACTGGACAGCACAGTTTGCTGGGGAGCCGGCAGGGTTGGGGGCCGCGGGAGCGCTGGCCACGGAAGGTAAACTGGTGGCCGTGGAGACAGTAGAAAAGGGAGGGCCAGAAGAAGGCGGGGCCTGGGGAGAGCCCGTGGAGACGTGTGCAAAGGGAGAGCGAGAGGATGGGTCACTCTTCACGCTGGAGCTCTCCTGGGAGGCGGGGGCCTCCGTGGCCGGCTGCGAGAACTCTGCTTCCTTCTTCTCTTCAAAGTCTTCGTTGAACAGGTCCTGTATGTCATCTTCAGGAACTGTGTTGGCCAGTTCATCTATTAACTCTTGCCACTCCTGATCATTCAGGTTAATGTCTGAGAACAGCTTGTTCTGATTCGAAAGAGACGTTTCTGATGTGTCTATGCAAGTAGGGTCATCTAGAGGTTCTTGTTTGAGGTCCTTGCTCTGCAAGATGGTGAAGCTGTCCTCCAGGTCACTGCAACCGTTCACAGGAATTTTAAGCTCTGGGAGTCTCCCATTCTTACTCAGATCTTCCAGAAGCCCAGGAGTGTGAGTCCCACTGTTCTGCAAGGGCAAAGAAGGCTTCAGGTCAAGTTGGTGAAGAGGAGAAGCTGAAGACAGTGGCATATTGTTGGGCAAATTGTTGATGGCTTCCATCCCTGTAGGAATGTCCTTTCGTATTCGCTTGCTAGTTGGAGAAAAACTCCCATCACAAGCACCGTTCTGCTGGTCTCCATTAAGGGGTGATCGGGCTCCTTCCAACTTCCTTTTCACAGTCTCTTGGAGCTGGAAAAGAAACAGGAAAGAGAATGACTAAATCTCCAAGTCATGGTTTACTTACTCATTAAGCATGGTGGTATGCATGGCGACGAACTCATTTTTAAATGGTTTAGAACACATCAGAAAGATGTTATACTTCTAATTTCAAAATTGGCCAGGCTTCAATTCAAATTCTACGGGAAAAGGTTTTGCCCAAAAGCAGAGGTCACACGGCTACGAGATAGAAAGCAAACTAAAGACTGGAGGGTGGAACAAAAGAAAAGAAAGAGTTAAGGCAATAATTCTCCTATTGGGAAGCATCGTCTTATTATTATTTTTCGAATGAATGCTACGTGTGAGACTTGGACCAAAATGTGTCAGGCTCTAGAAAGGTGCTAAAACCTATCTTAAGTTCTTGTCGCATCTGACTTGAGAACGTTAAGGAATTAAATCAACAATACTTTAAAAAACACTGAAAATCCTCTAAGATTACGGAATTTAACACATTTACTGAATAACACAGAAATGAAGATTAATGGTTAACATAACCAGAAACTTCGTTTTGGTTCTTATTTTACTTGACCTCCCAGCACTTCGTGACATAGTAGCCTGCTCTGTTCTAAAAGTATGCTTCCATGGGTTTCCACAATACCACACTTTTCTGGATTTCCTTTGTTCTTTCCATCTGTGCTTTCTCAGTCTCTTATGTATTCTTTCGCTCTCCTAAGTGCTGGGATTCTTCATTGTTTGGTCTTAAGCTTCCTTCTGCTTCCAAGGCACAGTACATGTTGTTTTCTTTTCTTGGAACATACTTCTCCCCTTCCAGGTTGTAGCTTAGACTTCACTTCCTCTAGGAAATCTTTTCTCACATCCCTTCACCCCAACTACAATAGGTACCTCCTTTGACCCACCTGCACTGGGTTGGAAATCCTGGAATATGGTTTTCCAAGCAACCTCTACTTCCCCATCATACTTTGGGGGGCAACTAGTTAAGTGTCTGTTTAGCGAGCTCCAAGAAGAGGGGCTACGGCTGACTTGCTTACTGTGTATCTGTGGGAATGGAATCTCTCACCCTGGAGAGTGTTGTGTCCATTTAACTGGACTCCTTTGAAAAGCCTGGGGGGGGGGG